AATAAGACTGATAAACCCCTGGCCAGACTTACCCAAAAGAAAAGAGTAAGGACCCAAAGAAACCATGAATGAAAGAGAAGAGATTACAACAAACACCGAGGAAATACAAACAATTATAAGAACATATCATGAGCAACTATATGCCAACAAATCAGACAATCTGGAAGAAATGGATGCATTCCCAGAGATGTATAAACTACCAAAACTGAAACAGAAAGAAACAGAAAACCTGAACGGACCCATAACCAGCAAGGAAATCAAAGCAGTAATCAAAAATCTCCCCAACACACGAGAGTCCAGGGCTGGATGGCTTCCCAGAGGAACTCTACCAAACATTTAAAGAAGAATTAATACCTATTCTGAAGATGTTTCAAAAAATCAAAATGGAAGAAGGAAAACTTCCAAACTCTTTCTATGAGGCCAGCATTACCTTGATCCCAAAACCAACAAAGACCCCACCAAAAGGGAGAATTACAGACCAATATCCCCGATGAACATGGATGCCAAAAATCTCACCAAGATACTAGGCAATAGGATCCAATAGTACATTAAAAGGATTATTCACCACCACCAAGTGGGATTTATTCCTGAGCTGCAAGGTTGGTTCAACATCTGCAAATCAATCAATGTGATACACCACATTAATAAAAGAAAGGACAAGAACCATATGATCCTCTCAATAGATGCAGAAAAAGCATTGGACAAAGTACTGCATCCTTTCTTGATTAAAACTCTTCACAGTGTAGGGACAGAGGCAACATACTTCAATATCATAAAAGCCATATGCAAAAGCCCACAGCGAATATCATTCTCAATGGGGAAAAACTGAGCGCTTTTCCCTTAAGGTCAGGAACACGGCACGGATGTCCACTCTCACCACTGTTGTTCAGCATAGTACTAGAAATCCTAGCCTCAGCAATCAGACAACAACAATGCCTTTTATTCAGAAATAAAAGGCATCTGAAATTGGCAAAGAAGTCAAACTCTCACTCTTCACAGATGACATGATACTCTGTGGAAAACCCAAAAGACTCCACCCCAAAATTGCCAGAACTCATACAGGAATTCAGCAAAGTGGCAGGATATAAAATCGATGCTCGGAAATCAGTTGCATCTCTATACACCAAAAGTGAGACTGAAGAAAGAGAATTTAAGGAGTCAATCCCATTTACAATTGCACCAAAACCCATAAGATACCTGGGAATAAACCTAGAATATCCAATGGGAAACAGTCTCTTCAACAAATGCTGTTGGAAAAACTGGACAACAACATGCAAAAGAATGAAACCAGACCATTTTCTTACACCATACCCAAAAATAAATTTGAAATGGATTAAAGACCCAAATATGAGACCTGAAACCACAAAAACCCTAGAAGAGAGCATAGGTAGCAACTTCTCTGACATCAGCAATAGCAACTTTTTCTAGATAGGTCCCCTGAGGCAAGAGAAACAAAAGCAAAAATAAACTATTGTCACAGACACACACGCAGAAATACACAATGAAATATTACTCAGCCATAAAAAAGAATGAAATCTTGCCATTTGCAACAACATGGATGGAGCTGCAGAGTATAATGCTAAGTGAAGTAAGTCAGTCAAAGACAAATACCATATGATTTCACTGACATGTGGTATTTAAGAAACAAAACAAATGAGCAAAGGAGAAAAAATGAGACAGACCAAGAAACAGACTCTTGAGAACAAACTGATGGTTACCAGAGGAGAGGTGGGTAGGGGGATGGGTTAAACAGGTGACAGCGACTAAGGAGTACACTTGTGATGAGTAATAGGTGATGTATGCAATTCCTGAATCACTATATTGTACACCTGAAACTAATACAACACTATATGTTAACTAACTGGAATTAAAATAAAAACTTAAAATGGAAGTTCTAGAGAAAGGGACAGTACCTTTTTATGGATCTGTATCTAAGATAAGGCTGACAGGGCACTAGCCCTTCCCTTGTAAATTACTGGAGAGAGTGGCCAGCTGCCAAGGGGAATGAGCTACATACTAGGAAATTACTTCACACAGATAAAACTTTGTAGAAAGATCTGATGAGGATAAATCGTCCTGATTTCCCTGACTACTCTCAAGCTACCCCCTTCTCTCCCAAGGATAAAAAGGAATATTCCAACAAAGATAAAAGGGAGCCAGACAGGTGGCAGTGGAGGAAAGGTGAGAAAGAGCCAACACATAAATTGTAAGTTTCCCAGTTCTTTCATTAATTAGCTACCTGACCTTGGACAAGCTGCAACTTCTCTGGGCCTCATCCATAAAATGAGCTGAATGATTTAATACCTTCTACTATCAGCTCTAATATTCCAAGATAGAACCTATATTTAAAATTCTGCTGAAAATGGTATCAGGACTGCCTATCCGTAATCTGATCAACACAAGTGGCCAACAGTAATACAACTAGGTTAGTTGGATCAAGGTTGTAATATATACACACATTTATACATATCCTCCTCCTATCTTGTACATATCTTGGCATATTAATGTTAGAATATATATAATATATAGCAGCTAATATATAGTAGTAGATATATTGTATATGTAGTTAATATATAGAATATATAATAGTTGTTAATATTCATTAAAATGCAAAAATGTCCTCAACATATTAATAAATAAATAAATGTAACACTTTTTAGGAATGTAATCTTAAAAGCTGTAAGGATAATAAGACAATTTATATTTCCAAAATTTTTAATATGTTCAAGTTTTCTCTGTTGCATATTACAATGTTCTAATCCCTAGATTTATTTATTTTTTATAGTTATCTATGTATGTACTACCTGTGTCTTGACAAATAGTAAAAAAAAAAAAAATTTGGAGACAATCCTTCTCTGTTTAGCCTATTAGTGAATTTACCTTCATTAAGGTATTAAGAAATAAGTGAAGATATTATACAAATCTGTGAATTTATAAGAAATTTTTCACACCAATAAAGCAGAGCGGGTAGTTTATGATTAACATGTAAGATCTTATTAAACCACTGCACTGAGATTATAATCATAAAATATAAATTAAGGAGTGATTAAATGAGCTATTTCCTTTCTCCGTTTAGACAGTAGTTTATGTGTACTCTTTCATAAATACATTACTTATATCTAACAAGATAATTTTTGACGTCAATGAGTTTAGTGATGAGTAGATGATCAGAAGGCTATTATAGACCACTCTTTTATGAACTTTAGAAGTAATAAAATAATTTTGTTATAGAAGAACACTTACCTTTTAGAGGAAAAAACCTTAAAATCAGAAACTATTATTTGGTTTATAACTAAAGCGTCCACTAATTTAAAGAGCTAATTGCTGGTTTTTAAGCTAAAAGGTCTGTTCTTTGGCTAGCTTTCACTAGTTTCATGAGTGGCAGTGTGCACAGAGGCGCAGGCCATGGAAATCAGAGGCTGCAGGGAATCCTAGCTGAGCTACTTACTCTGTTACTTTGGGTAACATAATCCCTTTGTTCCTCGATTTCCTCATCCAAGGAAAGTAAGAAAGGGATACTAACAGAATCTACTTCATAAGATTATTGTGAGCATTCACTGAGTTAATATGTGAAAAGCGCTCAGTTATTTTTCAGATTTTAAGCACAGCTATAAATACATATATAGTCCAGCGAATTTTCATATGGTAACATTTCTGCTGAATATGTATTTAATCATCCAGCAATTAACTGTTCCATCTAAAGTATCAACAGAAAAATAACTCGTTAATTTGCAAAATACTTTATGTTGCTTTAGACTTTAGTTGATATACAAAGACACTTGCTATATGGTCATTACACATACATACATGACACAGATAAATGCTTACAGTCTAAAATAATATATCCAAACAAACAGGGTAAGAGATGTAAATTATTTAACAACCTCTAACATCCCTACCTCGACTGCTTTCCTCAGCTCTATGTCTGCTTTGTTAAGTGTTTATTTTTCTTATCCTTAACTATTACTGCCAACGTATACCACCTCTGTTTCCTAAGTTTTTCTGGAAATTTGATACTGATCTGTGTATTTTGTGTACAGAGATGATACCTATATTATTCTACAAAGGAAACGATTAAAAAGTAGAAAAGTAAAATTGATAGATATGAGTGACTCAAAATTTTTGTGAATTTTATAATTGACTGTATGAAGTATTAAGGGTTTTCAATTATAAGCAAGTATGTTCTGAATTGTTTTCAAAAATAATTTTGTTACAGAACATTTCCTTTTAAAAGTTTCTACTTGAATTAAGAAGGGTTGCCTTTTGATGTATATTTCAATGGTTTAGTATTTTCAAAATACTTCATTTATTATCATTTTATATTTGTGGGTTTAGGTGAATTTCAATTTGTTAAAAAAGATCCTTGGGGAGCACCATGGTGGCTCAATCTGCCTTCGGCTCAGGTCATGATCCCAGGATCCTGGGTTCGAGCCCCACATCGGGCTCCCTGCTCTGCGGGAAGCCTGCTTCTCTCCCTCTCCCACTCCCCCTGCTTGTGTTCCCTCTCTTGCTGTCTCTCTCTCTCTCTCTAATAAATAAATAAATAAAAATCTTTAAAGATTTATTTTTAAGTAATCTCTACACCTAACATGGGGCTCGAACTCATGACCCTGAGATCAAGAGTCGCATGCTTTACTGACTGAGCCAGCCAGGTGCCCCTCATAAATAATATTTAACATGTGATGAATAAAATACATTATTCTTCATTTGAATGTTGTTAGTGGCCTCAGGTAAAGAACTTGATAGCTATAGGTTTCTGACCTTTATTAAGCCTCTCGAAAATCATATAATACTAAAAAATATGAAAATTTAACATTACCTTACCGTATAGTACTATTTACTTATAATAATTTTAATTGAAGATATAGTTTATTGATTTACAATGAATCAAGACTTTTCAATATTAAATTAATATTGTTAAAACCATACTAAAATTCGTCACCTCAACGATATCTTTTTCAAGGAAAATAAAACTTTTCAAAAATCAAATGCAGACATACCTCTAACATTAATTGTGTAAATTCTTCATTACTAAGGAATGTAGGTTTCCAGTCCTGTCGAATTTCACTGGCATCTGACTGTGCAGTGATTTCTGTAAAGATTATTTGACACATTAGTGGCATACTCCAAACACAGGGTAGGGGTAAGGGGTGGTACCAAAGTCCAACAAGTTGCCTTCTCTCCTCCCTATTTAAGATGAGAACCACAGGCAATAACATTCATTGGTTTAGGTAGGTATCAGGAGGCGCAGGCTTGGGTATGATGAAATACATGGACTAATGTGGCAAGTTATCTCCTTGGATTTCGTCTCTTGGAAATAACCAGTCTCTGGTTTTTCTTTGGGGAGCTTTGACAGCCTGTACTGCTGAAAGCCTGAGACTGCTTCCTGCTTGACATAATGACCAAATAAGAACCAGAACAAGCATATTAGTATCAAGCATTAGAAAGAAATTCTTTCTTCTCATCCTTCTCTTGACATTCAAATGGTGGAATGTAGCTAGCGCAGTCGTAAGGACATGACTCTGGAGGAAAGGAGCCAAGGAGGTCAGTCAGTCAGTCTGCTTTTAACTAAGACGACTTTAGGGTTGCCTAGTACCAGGCAGAAAGATGCCTTCCAATCTGAGGTGCTCTATTCTGAACTAATCAAGGAGACTAAAATTTGGGGAAAAACTTTAAAGTAATAATCCCAGAGTGATTTTGCTTAGTGTCCTCCTGAATGTTTTCTTAGTGGTAGGGAACTGGTCAAAAATCTGGAAATCCCTGGCTTGGTGCACACATTTTAACAAAATTATTAGTTTATTTTGCAACATTTTTCTAATGGATTTAGTTACGAGAAAGCTATTTATAAATGATGAAACATGAACTATTAGGTAATAAATATTTTTTCCATTTTTAAATGTAGACATATTCAACCAAGCAAAATAAAAATCTATAACATAGATTTTACTTTACAAAATATATTCTACTTTGCAGTGAAAAGTAGGGACTAATAAGCTGTTTTGGATTTTGTATTACCAGATATGTAAACACAGGATATTAAATTGTCACCCAACATTTGGCATATTGGAAATGCCTGTACTACAATATGATGAGTAACCAAGAAGTCTAGCTACTAATTCTGTGGAATACAGTCATGCTTTTCAAATTCACACCAATTATATACACTGAGAAAAAGAATTTAAATCCACAAGCAAATCCATCAAGTTTAGTTACACAGGCTTAGAGTACTAATAAAAGTATTTAAAAACTCCCTTTCAATTTAAGGTAAATTTTTCTTTTGTGAGAATTATATACCCAATTTTGAAAACAAAACAAAACAAAACAAAACAACTGACCTACTTAAATGCCAGAATTAATCCTCTATTATCAGGGGCAAATGCATTCATACGATTTCATTTCATCCAGCAATCATTTATTGAACTGCAGTGTCTGAGGGGATTGAGTGTGCTAACAAGGGACACTAAGGTTAGTGAGAATACTATTTGCAGAGGTAAAATGTAATGATACTGATGACAATAAAAATGAAGACAAGTGATTTTGACACATTTACAGAAGAATCAACAGAATTTGGCAACTGTGATACAGTACTAAGAAAGGTGAAAAAAATCTGAAAGTCTTTTCAGGCTTGAGTCCTAGGGCCTGAAAGGGTACTGTTGTAAAAATGTAAAAAGGAAGTTGAGAGAAAGAGGTGACTTAACAAAATGAAAATGAATTCACAGTTTCAGATGCACAGAGTTTGAGCACATGCAAAAGAAAGATCTAGAAGTTATCTGGAAACAAAAGACTGACAAATTTGCATCTAAAAATACAGATATGGTAGTTTAATAGAGAGGCAATAGTTGAAGCTATGGAATGAGATAACCAAGGAAAAGAGTCTAGAGAAAGCAAAAGCACAAAAGATATCTGGGGGGAAAAAAAGAAAGAGTTCAGTTAGGAATGGGAGGTGAAAGAAGAAGTGCAGTATAACACAGGCCAAGGGGGGAAAAAAGCCAGTGGCGGATGGATTAAGATTTCCAGTGCAGGGGCACCTGGGTGGCTCAATGGGTTAAGCATCAGACTCCTGATTTCAGCTCAGGTCATGATCTCAGGATCCTAGGATCGAGCCCCGAATCTGGCTCCACGCTAAGCACGGAGCTTGCTTGGGGATTCTCTCTCTCCCTCTGTGCCTCCCCCCGCATTCACACACTCTCTCTCTGTAATAAATAAATAAATCCTTTAAAAAAAGATTTCCAGTGCATTAGGTATAAGAAAAAGCTATTGCTATTGTTTGATTGGCAGCAGAACAGGTGGGGCTGCTGGCATTTGTGAAATTAACAAAAATAATTTCAAAGAGGTGGTGGAGCATAAACCAGCCTGGTAATGCATGACTCAGTAAGCCCTGGAGGAGTGAATAAAAGTACTAGTTACAAATTCTCCTTCGGAGAAGTTTTGCGGTTTCATTTGCATCTGGAAAAGGAAAGGTCCTTCTACACGTTTTTCATCTATTATCTCTGTTACCAAAATACTCAATGTTCTTTAAATTGTTCATGACTCATTTAGTCAAAATGATTTTCTTCGATTAATAATCACTTTATTTTAGGGCGCCTGGGTGGCTCAGTTGGTTAAGCGTCTGCCTTCGGCTCAGGTCATGATCTCAGGGTCCTGGGATCGAGTCCCGCATCGGGTTCCCTGCTCAGTGCAGAGCCTGCTTCTCCCTCTCCCTCTGCCACTCCCTCTGCTTGTGCTCTTCTGTCTATCTCTCTGTCAAATAAATAAATAAAATCTTTAAAAAAAAAAAATCACTTTATTTTATAAAGTGTTTATTTCCTAGACATACACTGAAATCATCTTTTAAAATGGCATACAAGGCCCTCATGATGCGGTTCTTGCCTTTCTTTGAAATATACCCATAAGTTTCCAACTCCAACTATGCTCCAAATACACTGAACCCTCCCTGCTTTTCTGCTTTTGCACACACTATTTCCTATTTCCTCCAGGTGAAATGCTGTTCTCCTTATTTAATCTAAAAGGAGGACTCAGCTGAAAAATCAACCATTTTTAAGGCTTTCCTGACACATTTTTTTCCCTCTGTGTTCTCACGGCAAGTTTATGGTTTACAAACACTACTCATGTTTTAAGTATCTGCATTGTAAATTAGCTGTTTACGTTTGTCTTCCTTGGCTTGAGTTAACTGAGGGCCAGGACTGCTACTCTGCACCCCAAGAATATAGGATTTAGTAGGCACTAAATAAATGTTTGTTGAATGAAATAAAGAACATCTCAGGAAACCTTTAAAAAGGCAATTGATTTCTTTCTCTCAAGAAAAGGTGAGGAAGCATCCAATTTTAAGAATCACTGTCAAGATTCTATCACATTATGCTTTAAGGGAGACTCTGTTATTTAAAAAATCCGTCTTATAAAGTTAAAATTTTACCTTTATGTTTTCGTAAAAAATCAATGCTCTTCTGCAGAACAGTAGATTTGTCCATCTTCCTAGCATTACCAGGAAGCATGGATCCCAGTTCTTTAATGAGAACATTAAATTGATCTCTACGTTTCTTTTCAGATTTGTTTCTAGATACTCTGATGGAAAAAAAAAATTAAGCAGCTTTCAAACAATCCATTTGATTACACACATAGTTTAATACAATGCTCACTTTGGATACAACTACATACCATGTACTTCCATCAATATAGGTGGTAATAAGTATTTATCCACGGGTTACCAACAATGTACAGTTAATTTTCTTCTCAGCTTATCAGTGAAGAACTAAGCATTTGGGAAACATGTTCTTAGGAAAATGCCAGTAAGACAAACCTCATTCAAATCTCAGGTTTTATTTAATCTAATATTTACCAGGAATATGTATTTTCCTTATTAGGTTATTATGAATATTACTGAGATACATTTGTGGAACTGCATATAATGTATAAATACAAATTATTCAAAATTACTAGTTAGGAGAAAGTTACCCATCTCCTGTAAGTTTTAAATTACAAACAAATCTAAAAATGAAAATCTCTCTACCCTCAGGCTTATCCATATAGTCTTCCTCTTTATTCCTGTATGCCAGGCTCCCGCACGGAGCTATAACCATTTGTTTGCATCTCTCTCTCTCTCCATTAGGCTGTGTACACCTTGATAACAGAGCCCCAATTTTTTCATCTAAGTACTTAAGGGTAACAACTAACAAACAGTAAGCACTCAAAATATGCATGCCAAATGAATAATGAGTACTGTTGTATGTGAAGCAGCTAACCAGTAAATATCAAGTGGCACCAAGACCTTCAGACAGTAAATACAATTATTTATATAGTAATTAATCATTCTATAATACCTCTAATTGTCTACTTTGTGAAGTTAGATTTTCTAATTCAGTTTTTGTTTAAGCAATGTATACTCATTTCCCAAAAGGTCAGAGGATAATTTTATTTATTTTTTGGTTTTCAGTAACAAAGAAGCATTTATTCTATATTAGTACTGGGAAAAAATACAATGGTTCAAACCTCTTAAGAAACATAATAGATACTAAAAATCACTCCTTCATCAAACAGTGAGTGCTTGCTATAATAACAGAGACTATGCTAATAAAGGCTAGGGATACTGGGAAAAGACAAGCTCTTTCAAGAAATTTATCCAATTCCTACGGAAATTCAGAGGAACCAGAGATGGCATTCTCATGCGCTGAACTGAGTCACGAAGGCTGAGTGAGAAAAGGACAGTAGTGGAGTGTATGCAAGGCACCGCAGGTACAGGAAACTTGTACAGGAATGAAAACCTATCACAAGTAGTTCAATCTCGCTAACATGGCCAATGAGTAGGCTTTCTGTACCCCAGTATGCTAGAGCTGGGGGGGGGGGGAGACATAAATGCTGGAAAAAATCATGAAGTTTTTATGTTACATAAAAGGATTTTAATTCTGAAAGTCATGGGAAGGCACTGAAATGTTTTAAAGCAAAAAAATGATGGGAACAGAACTGCTTGTTAATAAGACCATTCTGGCATCAGAGTGATGAAAGGATCAATGCTTGGTGAAACAAATTCATTTAGCAAATACTCTTGAAAACTTACTGTATGGCAAACAAGCCTGGACACCACATGACCATTTAGGAGGCAAGTACAACATCCTAGCCTATAAACCATGGCAGTGTCGGTGTTAACAGAGTAGTGTGGGTTTGAGGGTTAAGACACAGAACTATCCGTTTTAGGTAAATCAGACCTGGTTTGCAGTGGGAAGCAAAAGGGAAACCTAAGAGGATTCCCAAGTTACTGATAATGCTGTTTATTAATGTGAAATAAAAACATGTGATACCGGTTTTGGTGGACAGATGGCTTGGAGAGAATTTAGATACAATGAAATTGCCTGTTTCACATTTTAAAAGATATACACAAGAGGCTTAGATATGCAGATCTAGTTATATTCCTCTATAAAAGAGTAAGAAATAAGCATTTGAGAATTAGCATGTATGAAGTATCTGAACACATGAATTGGGATAAAAATAAAAGTCAGTACTCACTGCATACTACTGATGTGCTAGGCACTACTACAGGCACTTATGAAATCTCATTCATTCCTATGAGGTAGACTTTCTTACCACTTTTCATTTTACAGGTGACAACTCAGGCACAAAGGAGAACATGCCCAGTGCCAAACAGCTACCATGAAGTAATAATTCAACTCAGCCATCTTTATTCCAGGGGAAGAAAACATACAGAAATCACATATTGCCAACTCTATCACTGGATCACAACCACTAAAGCCAACTTCACTTCATATTACATTTAGTCTGGAACTTCTCAGCCCTTGTGATGACTTCACTGAGAACAGGCCACAGATGTTTCATTTTGAGGATGGGTATAAAACCCCCTTTGTTCTTGATTCAACACTAAGGTACTTGAACTCATCATTGTTTTAGTCAGAGCTCACTGTGGTCCTCCTTAATTCTGACAGTATAGTGAGGTTCTTTCTTTTTCTCCAATGTCTTCCAGAGCCACAGTATTTCTGGTTCCCTAAAAACATTATCAAACTTTCAGAGTCTTCAAAAATAGAATACACTTAGCTTACCTTATCCATCTATAAACTTGGCCTTTAAGACTGTCCAAGGCAATTCCTTACAGTTCTACCTCTTCATTCAGGCAAGACTGAAGAACTTTCCTTCACCAGATTGAAGTTAAGGGATAAGGGGTTGTCCTACATATTTTTAGCTTCAAATCCAGGTCTTTTTATTTCCTTGAATACATTGTATAGTTTTCCTCAAAATCTTCTTCTTATATATATTTTAATCATTCATTAAAGTATTCAGCAACTTACCTGGTTATTGTATTTTTCATATCCCAGTCCCCCCCCCATTTTTTTGCTAAATACAGACATGTAAGAACTATTACTTATTACATGTTTATATTTGTTATCTGTGTATAATACAACAACCACTACCCTTGTCTAAGCACCCACATGGTTCAACACAGCTGGAGAAAAAAAAACCCAGAAAGTGTTTACTACTCATTCTGAGGGACTATAAACTTTGCTATAATGCTACCTGGACCCTCCCCCTCCTGATACTCTAATTAACTGCCAACACTCCTATTTAAGGTAGAAGCCCCCATCAGTACCACCATGGCTCTAGATCCCATTCCCTCACCTACTTGAGGATACCTCTCCAACAAGTCTTCCCTCCCTTTTCCCACTGTCTACTTTCCCTTCTATGGGAGAATGGAGGCATGTGGAGGTCACAGGGGCCTAGCCTGAAAGAACTCCCAATCGCCAAAGCTGAAACAATTTGAGCAACAAACTAAGACAGCAGTGGAGTATATAACCTAGAGTATAAAATAAACACATGAGTCCATACAGACATAAAAAAAATGGGAAACAATGTTTTTACAGAAATATTCCAAATGTGTGTAGATACCCCCTCCTATGGGAGGTGGAGCTTAATTCCCCCCATTCCTACTCTGAAGGTGGGCTACACTAAATAACTTGCTACCAAAGAACAGAGTAAGTCAAGCGGAAAAGAGTAACTATAATGGTGAATCTGGCAAACCCTACCTTAGCCGAGTGATGAAAGTTAACATCCTTAGTGATGTCTTATAGATATTATATACTCATAATATGTGATGAGATGAGCACTTTTACAGGATACTTTTATTTAAATTATAAACTGCATACTGATAATCTAAGCTTTTCCACCTTGCTAATACATCTAAGTTCTTAAGACAGACAGCTTTTGGAAATCACTGATTTATGATTTATTTACTTTTACATTTACTTATTTATTCATTTATTTACTATTTTACATCTTAAGTTGAACTACCTTTTTGCTTTGTCCTTGTCATCTTCTTCCACCAACCCATCAAAAATACTACCATCTTCTCTAAAAGAAAAAAGAAAGTGGATAGAGAAAATAAGAGCAAACTCATTAAGCAACAGCAATTCCAAAATGACATGTGAATCAAATTAGTTATATCCTAGGATTTTTTGTAGAGTTAAAGGACTGTACAAATTCAAACTCAATTAACTGCTAACCTGTTTTCTAACAAGTATTAGAAAATTAAAGTTTATCCATGTTTAATTATATTTTTTAAAAGTTTATCACAAATGTGAATTTTAAAACTACTTATGTACTATATATATGACATGCTAAACCAGAATTTAGTTTAATCAGAGGTTAATACCTTGTTTCAAACTGTTAGTAATCAATGAAACCTACAGAAAGTCAGTGTATTTGTCATATAAGAGCACAGCTTAAAAAATTTATTTTGAGACATTCATGTTATAAAACCAGAAATCATTCATAAACAGCACAGTATCTAGCATTTAACTTATATTAACACATTTCATTCATTACTAATTCATTTGACAAATATTTATTAATACTCATGTGCCAGGCTCTGTTCTGGACAAGATTACAGAGCATTAAAGCAGTTAATCAAACACAGAAATCCCTGCTCTCCTACAGCTTATTTTCTAGCAGAACGAAAAAAATCAAGAAGGGAATATATGATGGAAAGTTTTATATTTTTTAAAAAGGGGTGATTTTTTATTTACTGCGATGTTACTTTAATCCGAGTGGTTAGGGAAGGACCTGCTGAGGTTCGGACATTTAAACTGAGATCTAAGTGACAAGAGGGGTTGGTTATGGGAAGATCTGGGGGAATAGCATTCTAACAAATGAAATCAAGAGCACTGGTGGCTAACTCCTTAACCTAAGTAGCAATATTAAATAATTTCATATGAATTCATAAATTCACTATTCACTACTTTAACCACACCTTTCTGTGGCCTATAAAGGCATATATAGTGCCTGTTGGACCAACTGCTGAGAACATCTGCAAATCTTGTATTATTGAGCTCCATGTCTGGACTTTCAGGGTTCCATGTGTGTTCTGCAATTTATGAAAACTTTTGTATGTATATGCATGTTATTGAGGAGAGAGTCCATAACTTTCATGATATTCCCACAGATAATGAACTCATATTAAGAGTCACTGCTTCTGTCTGAACACAGACGTTATCTCTAGATATCATATTGTCTAGAATGGGAATTGGCAATCATCGAGAAGCATAATACCACATATTTAATCTCTTAGGAGCACTGAAGGAACACCCTTTCTGAGGAGACAACTATACATAGAGCCCACCTGAAAATATGGCATAGCCCCAATCTATGGCAGTGCTGCAGGCAGGCCTCTCTAAGGAAACTCCTTGCCCCTTAGGTCTTAAGTTCTGGTAGAGTATATATCTTCACTGTTTATCTCACAGGAAAGGGAGATAGGCTGGCCCCAGATGTCAAAGGTCAATCACTTCTGTATACAACTCTAGCTACAAAACTCTTAAAGAATCCCCTATGGAAGAATCACACAGTACACTACAATAAAAATAAAGGAACTTCAGTGTCAGACAGACCAACACAGGTCATAATTCCAGCTCAACACTTAATTATGTGACCTCAAACAAGTTATTCAACCTCCCTGACCTATCATTTCCTCAGCTGTAAAATCTCATGGATTATTATGAGGTTAAATGAAGTAACATATAAAAAGTACTTGACAACAGAGCTGTCAAAGAGTAAGAGCTTAAAATATGTTACTGTATTTCATCAAATTAAAAACACCATTGATCTTTATAGACTTATGAGTATTTTATATGCCACCAAGATGGAAAAAAAATGCTACCAATTAAACTACGATAAGGCAATTGTAAGATGAAGCTCAGTGTCAGAGGTGTTAAAATGTAAACAAACAAACAAAAAAGTCTTAAAATCAAAGAAACAAGGTTTATCCTCCTCGTAAGAGTATGATTTAAAGACTATAATCTTAACTAATAAAGTCCTAATTATAGTTACCACTTATCAATCACAAATGCTAAATGCTTAAAGGGATGGAGTTAGCACCAATAGATAAGGAGAAAAAAAACAAGACATAAGGAAATAGAAGATTCCATAAGATGCCAAGGAAGCATTTGCCACTGCCGCAATTTCTTTCAGAGGAGCTCTGACCAAATACTCAAAATTACAGTTCAAGATCTGTTTAGGACACAAACCATATGCTGCTGACTTTGGCTATAGATAATATCAATATGTCTTACTATTACACTGTTTGCTCAATATGGAAATTGAATGTAATAGGAATTATGTTTAAACATGAAACTCCTTTTATCAGTTTGATACAGACCATTACTCTAATAATAAATTTTAAAATAGCTTTATAGGATTCAAAATAAAGCGTCTTTAAAAACATACCTGTCAACAATCGAGCTCATTTTACTACAGCTTACGGTAAACAACATAACATAATACGTTTTCGTCTTGTGGTAGACATTTGTACTTCTCCTTGGGTGGAAGGAAAAATAAACAGTCATTAGTTTTCAAAAAATTTACTTCTACAAACATAGTAATGTTGAGGAACACTGTGGGTTATCATAGAGAATTCAAATGTTTTGGTTTGTACCCAGGGCTGAAACATTATTTTCAAGCAAATAGCTGGGGCACATGTGAAGCTTCCTTCTAAAAAAGAAACACGGGGGAAAAAAATTGAGGATTCATTTTCTATTATAAAGTAATAAAAAAGGCTACTCTTAATATTTAGTATATATATTAATTAGAGTATGTAACTGTGAATAGGTTATAACTCAAAAAGATATGTACACCCCTATGTTCATGCATCAGTATTTACAACAGCCAAGACAGAGAAACAACCTAGGGGCCTATCGATATAGATGAATGGATAAAGATGTGGTGTGAGTGTGTGTGTGTGTGTGTGTGTGTGTGTGTACAGTGAAATATTACTCAGCCATAAAAAAGAATGAAATCTTGCCAATCTTGACAACATGGATGAACCTAGAGGGTATCATGCTGGGTGAAATAAGTCAGACAAAGACAAATTCCATATGATTACATTTATATGTGAAATCTAAAACACAAAACAAAACAGACTCATAAATACAAAGAATAAACTGGTAGTTGCCAGAGGGGAGGGGAGTGGGAGGATGAGTGAGCTAGGTGAAGGGAAGTAATGTGTACAAACTGCCAGTTACAAAATAAGTCATGGGAATAAAAAGTACAGCACAGGGGCGCCTGGGTGGCTCAGTCGTTAAGCGTCTGCCTTCGGCTCAGGTCATGATCCCAGGGTCCTGGGATTGAGCCCCACATCGGGCTCCCTGCTCAGTAGGAAGCCTGCTTCTCCCTCTCCCACTCCCCCTACTTGTGTTCCTTCTCTCACCATGTCTCTCCCTGTCAAATAAATAAATAATCTTAAAAAAAAAAAAAAAGTACAGCACAGGGAATAGAGTCAATAATACTGTAATAACACTGTATGGTGACAGATGGTAACTACACTTATCATGGTGAGCATGTGTAATGTACAGAATTGCTCAGTCACTATTTATACCTGAAACTAATATAACACTGTATGTCAACTATTCTTTAATTTAAAAAATCTAATCAACAACAAACATTTGTTGAAAGCCTATTTCCTATTAAATAGTAGGCTAAGCTTTAGGGATACAAGGATAAAAGACACAGTCCCTAAAAATCTGCAACTGAATAGGGAGACAGATACCTAAATAATAATAATAAAAGAGAGGATATAGAGTATATAGAGGATATAAAGTATATAGAGAGGAGTCAAAGGAAATATTCTTGATGACAATGAGTTTGACAGGTAGTCTAGATTGTTACTAAAAATATGGTGCAAACTACTGGGTAATTACCCCAAAGATACAAATGTAGGGATCCGAAGGGGTACGTGTACCCCGATGTTTATAGCAGCAATGTTCACAATAGCCAAACTATGGAAAGAACCAAGATGTCCATCAACAGATGAATGGATAAAGATGTGGTATAATATATACACAATGGAATATTATGCAGCCATCAAAAGGAATGAGATCTTGCCATTTGCAACGATGTGGATGGAACTGGAGGATATTATGCTGAGCCAAATAAGTCAAAGAGAGAAAGACATGTATCATATGACCTCACTATGAGGAATTCTTAATCTCAGGAAACAAACAGGGTTGCTGGAGTGGGGGGTGGGGTGGGAGGGATGGGGTGACTGGGTGATAGACACTGGGGAGGGTATGTGCTCTGGTAAGTGCTGTGAATTGTGCAAGACTGTTGAATCTCAGATCTGTACCTCTGAAACAAATAATGTGATACACGTTCAGAAAAAAAAAAAAAGAAGATAGCAGGAGGGGAAGAATGAAGGGGGAGAAATCGGAGGGGGAGACAAACCATGAGAGACGATGGACTCTGAAAAACAAACTGAGGGTTCTAGAGGTGAGGGGGGTGGGAGGATGGGTTAGCTTGGTGATGGGTATTAAAGAGGGCACGTTCTGCATGGAGCACTGGGTGTTATGCACAAACAATGAATCATGGAACACTACATCTAAAACTAATGATGTAATGTATGGTGATTAACAATAAAATTTTTTTTAAAAAAATTGGTGCAAAGACCATCAGCACTGGCATCATCTGAGGCCTTGTTAAAAGACAGTCCTACTGAATCAGAATCTACATTTTAACAAAGTCCCCATGTGATTTGTATGACGATTTGAGTATGAGAAAAAGAGACTAGAGGACAAGAAAAGGTAGTATCTGAAAGGATGCGAAGCCACAAGAATGGCAATTTGTAAAGGCACAGGCCTTTATGAGACAAGGGAGCATCCTATTTGAGAAACTTAAGAGGTTTAGCATTTTCTTTAGCGAAAAATCTAGTCGTGTTACAAGTTAAACTTTAATTACTAGAGCATAAAATGAGAGTAAGAGTGGATAGAAGGGTGAAGGCAAGACAAGTAGAAAAGAGCCTTATTGGGATGTGCCTGGCTGGCTCAGGCAGTACAGCATGCAACTCGGTCTAGGGGTTGTGGGTTCAAGCCCCACCTGGGTGTAGAGATTACTTGAAAAGAAAAGAGAGAAAAGAAAAGAGAAAAGCAAAGAAAAGGAGGGAGGGAAGAGCTTTTTTTATAAGGAGTCTCATATCCACACTGAAGGAATTAAAACTTAGTACTTTAAAAACGGAATCATAAGCCTAAAATTTGTCATCCTATATTCTATAGTTTTTCTAAAGTGTAAGGCAGGTTTTATTCACACAAGATACTTATATAGTCGCGAATTAAATATTGAACAATCACCTTAATGCTAATAAAAACCCTAGCAATTTTGAGGCATGAGATATTCACTGTTTTCTAATGTACAGGCACGATGGAGCGGGCGAACGGTCCTTGCTCAATGATACTGTAGAGCCCATGTGATTATGGCTACAGAAGTAAGAATGCAAAGGGCTAAGAGCTCTTAGAAGAAAATGAGTGGGGAGTCAGAGGTAAAAATAAAAAGAACTAACACTAGATAAGATACCAGTTTTGGGGGGGGGGTTTGGTTTTTTAAAGATATTATTTATTTGACAGAGACACAGCGAGAGAGGGAACACAAGCAGGGGGAGTGGGAGAGGGAGAAGCAGGCTTCCCACTAAGCAGGGAGCCCGATGCGGGGCTCAATCCCAGGACCCTGGGATCATGACCTGAGCCGAAAGCAGACGCTTAACGGCTGAGCCACCCAGGCGCCCCTAAGATACCGGTTTTAAGTGTCTGGGTCAACGTCAGCAGATGGAACATGGAATTACACAATTTGAGAGTTAGAAGAGACTTTAAAGATGACCTAAGCACAACAATCTGGTCTAAGAGACATGCCTATCATCACAGTAATAACAGAGGCTGGTTCTGTTACAGAACAAAAAGAACAGTGCAAAGGTAACAGCAAAGTAAAGTTTCACTTTAAAGTAAAAAGGCCAGATCTGAGCCTTATGTGGCACCAAAGACATGCTTCTTTAATTATCAAAAGGTAGAATATAGGACAAACTAGGAGGAAAAAAAAAAAAAAAGACCCCAAGAATGAGGGTTTAGACTGTAGGAAGCACCATCCTAACTGAACCCAGAATGGTTTAGAAGATACAAGCCAATGCTTTATTAGGCTATTTTACTAATGTTGTTAACAATATGCTTTCCAAACATTTACTGCGCTGCTAACTGAACAACTTAAGACTATATGTTTCTCTAACAGTCTAGTCCAAGATCTTTTTTTCTCCTTTCTAGCCAACTGACTAGTTTCCCGTATATTTACGGGAAAGGGAAGGGAAGAAGTGAAATAGGCCCAACTAAGTACTCTAGAGCCAACTGTAAGGAGTTTCCTCTTCACTTCTTTAAATGGTGCCAAATTAATTTTCTCAAAACACAATGGTAATGGGGGAACAGCCAAAAGGTCTTGTTTTGGAACTACCCTAGGCCTCACATTTTCAGTACCAAAAAAAAAACTATCCAGAGTCACATTTCCCATGCTATGGATTCTAAGCATTCAGTTTTAAAAAAATAAGGATGTCCCTGTACACAGCATGGAATTTCAAGTATATAATCCAATACAGGTCAAATTTTATTATTAAATTAAATAATAATGTCGGGCGCCTGGGTGGCTCAGTTGGTTAAGCCTGCCTTAGGCTCAGGTCATGATCCTGGAGTTCCGGGATCGAGTCCCGCATAGGGCTCCCTGCTCAGCGGGGGGTCTGCTTCTCTCTCTGACCCTCTTCCCTCTTGTGCTGTCTCTCATTCTCTCTCTCAAATAAATAAATAAATAAAATCTTAAAAAAAAAAATTAAATAATAATGTCTTTTTTTCTTGGGGGCTCAGGTCATGATCTCGGGGTCGTGGGATGGAGTCCCACACAGGGCTCCATGCTCAGCACGGAGTCTGCTTGTCCCTCTCCCCCACCCCCTGCTTATGCACATGCTCTCTCCCTCCCTCTCTAATAAATAAATTCTTTAAAAATCTTCTTTCTTAAATACTGACATTACTAGGCCAGCATGGTATACAATAATGTCTTTGAAAGGATCAGTTGCAGTTACTAGAATCCAAAGTTCACAAATTAAATTACCAAGGATCAAGTTTCAGCTAGGAATCAACCACTCCTTTACATAAGCAACTTGAGCTCTAAGTCACTCAGTGATGACTTCCCAGCTTTCCAGTGATATTACTATTTTATGATGTAAAGGGCAAGAATGGCAGAAGTCTTTTATAAATATCATTTTAAAAACAAGCTTTAAAAAATATTTATGAGGGACTCCTGGGTGGCTCAGTCAGCTAAGCGTCTGCCTTCACTCAGGTCATGATCCCAGGAGTCCTGCATGGGGCTCCCTGCTCACCGGGGAGCCCGCTACTCCCTCTGTCTGCTGCTCCCCCTGCTCGTGCTCTCTCGCTCTCTCTCTGATAAATAAAATCTTTAAAATATATATATATTTTAAAAATATTTATGAAATGGGGAGATATTAATAACTAAGAAATTTTATAAAACATTCAAACTTCGCCAAATACAGAAGCAGATATGTTTTTAATTCAGTATGCAACATTAAACATAATTAACAGAAAATCTCAGTGCCTGGAAATCCATCTTTGGAAAAGAACCCTTATATATAAAACAACACATTCTATATTAAAAATAAACTGTGCAGTATCTAATGACATGATACTAGTCCTCTGAATCCCATCTGCTGTCACCTCTCAAGGCTTTCCATTCCTACATCACGAATTCCTCTCTTGATAACTGGATTTTTCTGATCAACGTCTTAGTATTTTACCTTAAAAAACAAAACAAAACAAAACAACCCTTGACCCACCAGCCCCCTTCAGGTACTACCTCTCCTTTTCTGCTCCTTCTCACAGGAAAACTGCATGGCAGAGTACAGTTGCTGTTTCAACATCTTTAATTCCATTCTCTCCCTTCCTTTAAAATTTAGTGTTTATTTTCACCAGTGTATACATGTTCAAAGTCTAAAGTGTCCACAAAGTTTTACAAGACTTATTAAAAAATCAGAAGTCCTCTGTCCTCTGATCCCCATTTCCCACTTTCCACCACTTTCACCTCCTGAACTGTTTCTTCTGGCAGTCAATGCTCCAATATCCTTTATTTTGTTACTTCTTGATTTCTCCGTTTTAGGTAGGGTGCCTAACAGTCCTAATTTATTCAAGTTGTCCCAATGTAATTATTAAAATGTCTCCTTTTGCTCTCAAAAGAGTCTTATATTTCAGGCATAATCTACTGAACTGCACTAAGAAAAATAAGAATTTAGTTCTCTTTGACTCCCCATCCTTACCTCATATACATGCATACTTGCCCAAATTCCCAGTATCATAATTTTGGCTAGGTGGTTATATTCAGAGTTAACATTACAATGACTCTCTAAATGCAATTCACAGCTGAGTCATACAGCATACTACAATTGCCTCCCCTTTCTAAATAATTTTTCCTAGAGTTGATCATTGTTTTATTATTGACTTACTTTTCTATAGACTTATCACCAATTCAGCCCCAAACTCTTCCCTGTCTAAATTTCCTCTTAATATCTTCAAACACATTACACATTCTACCAATTTAATCTCATAGCTATTTATCTTGGTAGCTTCTGACCTATTCCTGTTGGGACTGGATGCTCTCTATAACCAGCAACCAGTGATCAAAATCTCAGTTTTACTTTTCCACTCTTCCACTGAGTTTTTCATTTCTAATTTAATTGTTTTTCTTTCATGTTCCATGGATTTAGCATCTCCTCTTACCTCTCTGAAACTATTAAACAATAGTTTCGTGTTTTAATTTTTACCTGCCTGCCTGGTCACCATTTCCCCTAACCTGGTATTTTCCTTTGGCATGGTATTTGGCTCTCACATAAGAGGTTTTCCTAAAATGTTTAGTGATCTCTGGCTACCAGCTCATTTAAGGGTGGGGTCTAAAAAGATCACTGAAGCTCTGTGTGATAGGGCTTGCTGACTATGAACTTTATTGCAGGGATACCAGGTTAGAATATTTCTTTGGGGAAATTCTTTAAGTCTGTATCTTCAGCCCTTTTCTCTTAGGCTGGTTACAATTTCCAGAAAAGAATCTTCTAAACTACTGACTGAAAATTATAAAAAAAATGGTAGCCTCGGTTCTTAATCCCCCTATTTTCAATATGGTACTCCCATTCTCAACCACATTTGGTGCATCTCTATTTTATCCTTGGTAGAGAATAAATCTTTAGCCTTCTGCTAAGATAGGGGTGGGGCAGTTGCCTGGAATTCCAAGGTCAAGAAAAGGATCTCTGATTAGCCCCACTCTGACTCCGTTGCAGAAGTAAAGTGTGCGCTCAATTCCTGACATTTTAGAGGTTCTATGGTGCCAAAAAAGTTTGTTTCTCATCATTCTCACAGCCGGCTCAGGATTCTAAGATCCATAAGATAGATATCACACTTCCTTTTGCTTTTCAGCTTCCAAAATTTTGTTGTAATTGTTTCTTCTCTTCTCTTTGTTCTTGTGAAGTTATGTCTTTTGTTAAAAAAAAAAAAAAAAAAAAAATCCTTCTACTTTAGCTTTAATGGAGTTTCAAGAAGAAATAGAATTGTATTTTTTGCCATCTTTAACTGGAAATTCCCCATTTTTCTCTTCATCAATTTTAATCAGGCTTTCACCCTCACACACTCCCACTGAGATTGTTCACTCTTATTAGAGTTATAAAAGACATTCATGTTGCCAAATCTAATGGCTCCTTTACTCTCTATTTTACCTCTTGGTAACATATGATGTAACTGATCACCTCTGCATTTATTACTTTTCTTTTTTTTACCTTCTGTGACAGAACATTTTCCTGATTTTTTACACATCTCATGCGCTGTTCCTTCTCCTCTGATTAATACTGGCATGTCCTAAGGCTAAATCCTTCTTAATCTATGTACACTTCCTAGATAATTTCATCCAGACATACTCCTCTAAGTATCTCCCTATACCAATAAATCCCAAATCCACACCCCTAGACCAGATTCTCAACCTCAGAGTCTTATATCCAACTACCTTTGATATTTCTACAGATTTTACAGGTGTCTAAAATATTATACAGCAAAAGAGAACACTTGACTTTCTTACAGAGAAAGCACTCTTACAGAGTACTTTCTTTCAGAGCATTCTTTAATTCTACTAATTTATAGAATTTGCTTCTCTCCCAGTTTTCTTCTCCAACCTAAATTCCATATACTCTTCCCCTCATCTATTATACTCCAGTCACATTTTCTCTTTCTGTTCCTCAAGTATTCCATGGTCATTTTTGTTCACTGCCTGTTAATCTCCTCTCTCAGATCTTCATAGGGCTGGCACGTTCTTGCCATTCAGATCTTAACTGAAATATTCTTCTTCAATGAGAGCTTTCAAATATTTCATATTTCTTTCAATAATGAAGGCAGTCACCAGTCTCTATCACATTATCCATTTTAATTCTCTGCATCTCAATTCTCTGCATCTCAAAACAACAAATGTTTCATTGGTTTATTATTTGTCCTCCCTCCCTTTAGAATGCAATCCTAATGAGAGCAGGGACAACTTCTGTCTTGTTCACCACTGTATTCTCAGTATCTAAAGTAGCATCAAGTATTTGGAATAAATTAATACAACAGGAAAATTTTTAAAATAAAACATTCCTCAAATTAGTATGTCAAAATAAGTTTATGGATTCATTTATATATTTTGCTGGAAATACACTCTAAGATACCTTTTCATTACCTTTTGTATTTTTTGGATCTTTTGAACTGATTCTTCAGAAAACTATAGATTCAATGTATTCTTCTATATGGCTGACCATCACTCTCAGAATTCTGTTTAAACAACAAAAAAATTTATTAGATTTACTTAACTTATATAAAAGTTTATCATGAAAAAGTTTAAGTAATTTTTAAACAAAATTTAGAACTTAATCACAAAGTGTACATAACAAACGTTAAACTCTACAAATTGTTTCTGAGACACAAAAACTTAAAGAATGAAAACAATTAATTCTACTATAGAAGTTAAAACACAAAGGTATAAATATAACTACAAAAATACATTAATAAGATACACAATAAAAAGATGTAATTTGTGATGTCGATAACAAAGTGTGAAAGGGAGAGACATGTAAGAGAGTTCTGAAGCACCATCAATTTAATATAGATTGTCAAAACCATAAGATGTTTTATGTAAGACCTATGGTTAAGCACAAAGAAAACATCTATAGAGGATACACAAAAGGAAATGAGAGAGGAATCAAAGCATGTCACACGCACACAAAAAAACCCCCAAAAAACCCAACAACAAAAACAAGAAAAACAAACAAAGACAATAGGAGGAACAAAGTGACAAAAAACTACAAGACAGTCAAAAACAAATAACAAAATGGACACAGTAAGTCTTCCCTATCAGTAATTACTTTAAATATAAAAGGACTAAAGTCAGCAATCAAAAGAGTAGCTAAATGGATCAGAAAAAGTAAGATCCAACTAATTTACTGTCTACAACAGAGTCAACTCTAGATTTAAAGACATACAGAGAATGAAAGTAAAAGTGAAAAGATATTCTATGCAAATGTAACCAAAAGAGGGCAGGAGTGACCGTACTTCTATCCAACAAAATAAACTTTAAGTCAAAAACTGACAAGAGGCAAAAAAAGGACATTATATAATGATAAAAGGGTCAATTCATCAGGAAGATGTAAGAATGATATATACACCGAACATGAGAACATCCAAATATTTGAAACAAATACTGATGGAACTGAAGAGTGAAACAGATAGCAACACAATAATAATAGAGATTTCAATACCCCAGTATCAAAAAGGATAAAATATCTAGACAGAGTATCAATAAGGAAACAGGCAACTTGAATAACATTACAGACCAAATCAACTTGACAGACATATACAGAACATTCCACCCAACAGCAGCAGAATACACATTCTTCTTAACTGCACATGGAACATTCTCCAGGACATACCACATTTTAGGTCACAAAATAAGTCTTAACAAATTTAAGAAGACTGAAATCATACCAACTATCTTTTCTGCCAACAATGGAATGAAACTAGCAATCGATAACAAGGAGAACTGAAAAATTCACAAATGCATGAAAATTAAACAACACACACCCTTAAGCAGTGGATCAAAGAAGAAATCAAAAGGGAAATTAGAAACTTGGAGACAAACAAAAACATAACACATCAAAACTTATGGGATGTAGCAAAAGCAGTACTAACAGGGACGTTTATAGTGGTAAATACTACATTAAAAAAGAAAAAATATCTTGGGGGCACCTGGGTGGCACAGTCAGTTAAGCATCCAACTCTTGGTTTCAGTTCAGGTTATGATCTCAGGGTCATGAAATCAAGCCCAGCATTGGGCTCCATGCTCAGCACAAGTCTGCTTGAGATTCTCTCTAACCCCTCTGCCCCTTCCCCCAGCCCCACTCTCAATTAAAAATAAATAAATAAATCTCATAAATAAAACAGAATCCACTTCTAAAAAAAAAAAAAAAGAAGAAATCTCAAAAATGAACCCTAACTTTACACCTCAAGGAACCAGAGAAAGAGCAAACAAGCCCAAAGTTAGCAGAAGGAAGGAAATAATAAAGACTAAAGTAGCAGATGTAAACAAAACAGAGGATTAACAATAGGAAAAAAATTAAAAAAGGAGTTTTTAGAAAAGATCAACAAAATTGAGAAACCTTTAACTAGACTAAGAAAAACAGGAGAGAAAACTCAAATCAGAAGTGAAAGATGTTCGGCGCCTGGGTGGCTCAGATGGTTAAGTGTCTGCCTTCAGCTCAGGTCATGATCTCAGGGTCCTGGGATCGAGTCCCGCATCGGGCTCCCTGCTCCTTGGGAGCCTGCTCCTCCCTCTGCCTCTCCCTCTCTCTCATGAATAAATAAATAAAATCTTTAAAAAAAAAAAAAAAAGAAGTGAAAGATGCAGGGACGCCTGGGTGGCTCAGGAGGTTAAGTGCCTGCCTTCAGCTTGGGTCATGATCCCAGGGTCCCGGGATCGAGTCCCATGTCAGGCTCTTTGCTCAGCGGGGAGCCTGCTTCTCCCTCTGCCTGCTGCTCCCCCTGCTTGTGCTCTCCCTCTCTCTCTCTCTCTGACAAATAAAAAAATCTTAAAAAAAAAAGTGAAAGATGCAGTACTACAACTGACACCACAGAAATACAAAGATTCATAAGAGACTACTTACTATGAACAATTAGACACCAACAAATTAGATAGCCTAGAAGAAATAAATTCTTAGAAATACACAACCTACCAAGACTGAGTCATGAAGAAGTAGAAAATCTGCACACACCTGTATGACTAGTAAGGATACTGAGTAATCAAAAACCTCTCAACAAAGAAAAGCCCAGGACCAAACAGATTCAACGGAAAATTCTACCAAACATGTAAAGAAGAATTAATTAACATCAATCTTTCCCAAACTCTTAGAAAAAATTGAAGAGGGAATACATCCAAACTCATTTTATGAAGCCAACATCACCTTGATACCAAAGCCAGAGAGACTCTGCAAGTAAAGAAAACTACAGGTCAATATCCCTAATGAATATACACGCAAAAATCCTCAACAATATACTAACAAACTAACAAACCAAACCCAAGAGCATATTAAAAGGGTAATACACCACGACCAAGTGGGATTTATCCCTGGGGTACAGCATGTTTCAACATACAATAATCAGTCAATACGATACAGCAAATCAACAAAACAAAGCATAAAAATCACATGAATTTGTCAATGCAGAACAAGCATTTGACATAATTCAACACCCTTTCATGATAAAAAACACACAATAAACTAGGAACAAATAAAATTTCTCAAGATAACAAAGGCCATATATGAAAAGCCCAGAGCTAACATCATGATCAACAGTGAAAAACTGAAAGCTTTCCCTCTAAGATGAGGAACAAGGCAAGGATGCCCACTCTTACCACTTGTATTCAACACTGTACTGGAAATTCTAGCTAGAGTAATTAGGTAAGAAAAAAAAGGCTTACACAAATCAGAAAGTAAGAATTAAAATTATCCCTGTTCACAGATGACATGATCTTATATGCAGAAAACCCTAAAGATTCCACAAAAAAACCATTAGAACTAACAAATGTCAAAGTTGCAAAACACAAGATCAACACACAAAAATCAGTTGCACTTCTATATACACTAACAATAAACAATCTGAAAAGGAAATTAAAAAAAACAATGTCATTTACAATAGCATCAAAAAGAATAAAATAATTAGTAACAAACCTAACGAAAAAGGCAAAAGACTTGTACACTGAAAACTATAAAATAGTTTTCTGAAATAAGAAATAAGACACAAATAAATGGAGGGAAATTTACAGTGGACATACAAAGGATGTTTATAGAAGATTTAGTATCATTAAAATTGTCCATATTACCCAATGTCATCTACAGATTCAATGTAATCTCTATCAAAATCCCAATGGCATTCTTTGCAGAAACTGAAAAAAAAATCCTAAAATTCATATGGAACAACAAAGGATCTCAACTAGTCAAAAACAATATTGAGAAAAAAGAACAAAGCTGAAGGCCTCACACTTCCTAACCTGTAAACGTATTACAAAGCTACAGTAATCAAATGGTATGAAGTGGCATAAAAACGAACACATTGACCAACAGTAAAGAAAAGAGAGCCCAGAAATAAACCTAGGCATATATGGTCAAATGATCTTCAACAAGTGTGCCAAGACTCCATAATCAGAAAGCATAATATCTTTAACAAACAGTGCTGGGAAAACAGTATATCCACATGCAAAAAAAGACTGAAACTGGATGGACCCTACCTTCCTTACACCATACACAAAAACCAAATCAATATGGATTAAAGACTTAAATGTAAGACTTGAAACTATAAAACTCCTAGAGGAAAACAAAAGGGAAATTTTCAGGACACAGGATTTGGAAATCATATCTTGGATATGACACCAAAAGGAAAGGAAACAAAAGCAAAAACTGACAAGTGGGATTCCTTCAAGTTAAACAACTTACGCGCAGCAGAAGAAACAAGAGTGAAAAGGTAATCTATGGAATGGGAGAAAGTATCTGATAACTATATATATCTGATAAGGGATTAATATCCAAAATATATAAGAAACCCCTACAACTTAGCAAAACAACAACAAAACCCATAAATAACCCAATTTTTTAAAAAAAGGCAAATGACTTAAACATTTCTCCTAAGACATACAAATGGCCAACAGATACATGAAAAGATGCTCAAAATCCTTAATCATAAGAGAAATGCAAATCAAAACCACAATGAGATATCACAGCATCCCTGTTAAAATGGCCATTATAAAAACAACAAAAATATAGAAAACAGAAATAAATAAGTTTGGCAAGGATGTAGAAAAATTGGTACTTTGTTCATGTTGGGTAGGAATGTAAAATAGTGCCACCACTATGGAAAACAGCAAAGAAATTTCTCAAAAAACTAAAAATACAACTATCATATAATCCAGGAATTCCACTTCTGGGTATTTATGCAAAAGGAATGAGAACAGGATCTCGAAGAGATCACTGTACTCCTATATGTTCACTGCAGCATATTCACAATAGCCAAGAGGTGGAAACAACCTAAACAGTTCATGGACAAATAAATGGATAAAGGAATGGTATATACATACACCGGAATACTATTTCGTTCTGATAAAGAAGGAAATCCTTTCATACTTAACAACATGGATGAATCTTGAGGACTTTATGCTAAGTGAAATAAGCCAGTCACATTAGAACAAATAATGCATGATTCCACTTAACATGAGGTGTCTAAAATAGTCA